TCAGAGGTTGTCTTCATTCAGTTAATTTCCAAACAGTTGCTTCAATTGTTAAACTTGAAGTGATGACCAGGTTCTCTGCTTCAATTAGAAATGAAGTGTTCAGAAAGCAGCACCTGTTGGGTAAATTCACTTTATCAGTCCACCCACAAATAAGCCCACAGTTGAAATTCTCTCTCTGTGTTGTCCAAATTGTGTCAGTATATAAAATCATTATCTAAAATTTTGTTTAAATTTATATTACCACTATAATTTTCATATTAAATGCCTCTCTTCAATGCCCATGTGTTAAACTACTCTCCTAAAAGCCCATGTGTTAAATCAATATTTCTGCTAATGTAAAGTTGCTGAATCATAAAAGTGAAGGCTAATAGATACATTAGATCATCAAAGTTGGGAGCACTAAAGAGGCTAGTGGAACTAGCTCCTTTATCTTTCAGTTTTTCTCACCCAAACCATACAGTGATTAGTCCTGTTCTACCACATGTAGTTGCTTTGATATTGTGCTTCATCCAAAACAGAAAGCAAATGACAAACAGCTAAGGATTGCAATCTCTGAAAATATAAGTGCAATAACCCATTTGTTTTTAGGAGAAATGATCTCATAAATTTGTTACAGTAACAAAAAAATAGCTGCCCAATTACTTCATGTTACTTTTTACATTTTACTTTCATAATTCTCTAGCTCTTCCCATGTGTCATCATTTTCTTTATGTGTCAGAAGCTTTTCATCTTGTTAAGTGAAAAGTTGTCCATGTTTCTGTCTCAAATAGTTAGGAAACCCTCATGAGCAATTTTGGGTTTTTATCCATGGTATTTTTCTTGTACCTTTTGCAAATAATAATCCTTGGGCCATCATCACAATGACAAACAATTTAAGAGAATGTATCTAAATTCACTACCTCTATACTTTATGCTAATATTCTTTAATAAACCGATCCAAATGGAAAACAAGTAGCATATAAAAGAAAATCCATCAGAATGAAAACTGAGTGTTCAGTGTAAACTTCATAAGCCAGAGGAACCTAGAGAAAAGTATTCCAAATTCTAAATGACCACATATGCCTTCTCAGACTATTATGTCCAGGAAAAGTACCCAGTGTAGTCAATGGAGAAAGTACAATCTTCCATGATAAAATATAGGCTGAAAGAATTCATGTCCTCCAAAGGAGCCCTACAGAGAATACTGAAAGCAATGTAACAGACTGAAACAACAAAAATTCACACAAAGAGGTGACAGAAAGAAAAAAAAGAAAACAAATTAAGCTGTAGTTACTGGAACAGAAAATAAGAAAAAGAACAAAGATGTAAAAGAGAATGTAACCAAAATGTATCTATGAATAATCACTTTAAAAATCAGTGATATCAAGTATCAATTCTAAAGACACAGGTTAGTTGAATGGGTTAAAAACAAAAATTGATCTTTTATTAGTTTTTAAGAAACTAAATTTAGCCTCAAGGACAGGCACCAACTTAGAGCGAAAAGATGGAAAAATACTTCCAAATGTTGACAAGAAGTAAGCAGGAGTTGATATCCTAATGTCTGAAAAAATATACCTCAAGTAAAAATTAATCAGAAGAAATAAAAAAGGTGTCTTTATTCTGATCAAAGAAATAATCAACTAAGAAGACCTTTCAATGAGGCACATATAAGCAGTAAACTCTCATGAACTCTGCTTTATAAAAAGAATACTACTGTGATGCAAAGCACATATTAACCACAAATTAGTAATAATTGTTTACTTGAATACCTCATTTTCAGTTATAGGTCATCTAGCTAAATATTTTTTTTAAAAATCTGAAATAAAAGATATTACATCAAATGGACCTAAGACACATCTAGAGAATATTCTATACAAGCATGAAAGAATATTCATTTTAATAAGCATATAAGGAAGTTCCTCTAAAATTACCACATATTTGGACCCAAACCTCAAAAGTACAAAAAAAAAAAAAAAAAAAAAAGAAATAGATCCATGTATTCTATTTGACCACAATGAAATAAAACTTTAAATCAATAATAAAAGACACTATCATATATGCATGAACTCATGGTGATTAAATATTGAATGGGTCAAAGTAGAAATCAGGAAAGAAATACAAATATTCCTGAAAATAACTAAAGATGAAAGCACAGCAACACAAAATCTCAGCAAGACATTAAGATAGTCTTGGCGGGGGATGCTATAGTTGTAAGTGCTTACATTGAAAAAATAAAAATGAACACAAATAAAAGACTTAATGATTCAACTGAAGAATTTTGAAAAACAAGGAGAATTCAATCCCAAACTCAGAAGGCATGAATAACTATTAAAATTCAGAGCAGAAAACAAAATAAAAACAAAGGAAACCATACAATTAATCAAAGAATCTAATACTGATTCATTGAAAAGAAAACCTATATAGAACCTTAACCCAAATAACAACATTAAAAATTGCAAAACCAAATTGTCAAAATCAGAGATAAAAACAGGAATATCATAAAGGATTAACAAAATAATCCAGAACATTATAAAGAATTTACTTAAAAAAAACTATACTATGATAACTTAGAAAAAGGTGGACAAAACTCTATATTCAACCAAAGTACCAAATTTAAACCAAGAAGAGATCAACTTAAATAGATCCATAACAAATACAGAGAAAAAGAAAACAATAATACAAAACTTATCAGCTATGAAACAAAGGAAAAACCAGAATCCAGAGGGATTCACTACAGAATTTCAACAGACTTTCAAGTAAGAACTTCAACCAATACTGCTTATATTATCCAAAGATAGAAACAGAGGGAAAACTCTCAAACTCCTCCTATGAGGGCAACATTACTCTAACATGAAAACCAGTAAAAACAGACAGAAAAAGAAAACAAGAGGGTAATTTCTCTAATGAACATATATGCAAAATTCTTATTAAATACATGAAAACCACATATAGGCACACAGCAAAAGACTATCCACAGAACAAGTTGTTATTCCACAGTTGCAGGGACAGTTCAGTACACATAATTAATATAATAAATCATGTAAATAAACAATGAAAAAATTAAATGATCACTTAAAAGATGCACAGATGACCTTAGACAAAACTGTACATGCTTACATGATAAAAGCTCTAGAGGAAATGGAACTTGAGGAAATATAACTCAACCTAAGACTATACATGAGAAATTTTTCTAAATCAAGAAAAAAATTGAAGATTTCCCCCTCAGAATAATAAGTGAGACAAAGTTGTCCACTAGTCCCACTCTTTTTCAGTACACTGTTTGAAACCCTAGCTAATGCAATAGGATAAGAGAATTAGGCTGAGGAATAATTTGCAAAAGTCAGTAGCCTTTTTATATGTACCAATGGTAAACAGAGAAAGAGATTAGGGAAACACTTCCATTCTCAAGACATACAATGTATTTAGGAATCTACCTACAATTGAGTCAAAAGGAAGTCCAGTGTGTGGGAAAGAATCTTTCCCCATTATACATCTGGTAGAGGGTTCATTTCCATAATATATAAATAATTCAATAAAAAAAGAATCAAGGAAACATATGGCAAAATTTTAAAATGGGCTACAGATTAGAACAGAGAATTCTTGAGGAAGAAATTCAAAGTGACCAAGAAATATCTTAAAGTATCCATCATCCTTAGTAATTATGGAAATGAAAATCAAAACTATTTTAACATTTCATCACACCCAAGTTAGAATGGCTAAGGAAAAGAAACAGATGACAACAAATATTGGCGATGTGGGGAATGGGGAAATCTATTTCACTGCTAGGGAGATTGCAAACTGTTTTAGCCACTATGTTAACCACCATGGAGAAGTCTCTTTTATTTTTTTTTCCAATTTTT